CTAACTCAATTGATTTGTCACAGAGCTCAAAAAACCAGAAATAGAAGGCCATATTAAGGCAAGGGATTTTATTTTATTTTCACAGACTCTGTGAAAACATAATAAAAACTTCATTATGCAATACCTCAGAGTGAGTCATTTCACAATTTTGAACTTTTGACCAATGGGTGGATCCCACTAGAGAAAAAGAAGGAAGACAACTAAAGCACAAAGAGATTTTCAGCATGGAAAAGCTGCTACAATCTCACATGTCTCTGTTGGTGAGACAGTAGCTTCATCTTCAAACAGAGACAAGAAAGTTTAACTAATACGATTCCAATCTACTCCTTCAGCTTTCTGTTTTTTTTTTAATCTTTTTTGATTGCTGAATAATATTCCATGGTGTATATATACCACATCTTCTTGATCCAGTCATCTATTTTTGGGCATTTGGGTTGTTTCCAGGTTTTACCTATTGTAAATAGTGCTTCAATAAACATAGGTGTACAGGTATTTCTTTTGAATCAATGTTTCCATGTCCTTTGGGTTGAGCTTTCAATTTTTAAGTAAAGCTATGACTAGGGTAATTAAAGATATGACAATGACATTAAACTATTTATATATTTTACATTAATATATATTTATACATTTTTGATTTTTGATTCATACCTACCAAGGCATTTTCTTCCTTAATGATCATTATTTGTCATGTTAAACAAGACAGGAAGATTATGTTTAGAAAATGTGATAAAAGTTTGTATTTCCAAATTTTATGATATATTATTCTGATATTTCCTAAATTTCTTCCATTTAAATATATACAAAATGCCAAATAATAATAATGAACAATAGCTTGTATTGAGTTATTTCCAAGTCCCAGATATTTAACAATATTTATATTATTTCTTCTCCACAAGAAAATATTTGTGGTACTATTATTATTACCCTTATACAGATGAGGACACTGAGGCTTAGAGAAATAAAGTGACTAATTCAGACATGCAACTAATAAAGTAGGATGCTAGTCTGGCTCTTAAACTGTGCTCTCTAAGAAATGAAACAATGATGGATGTGTTCATAACAATAGATCTTATGCACAGATAATGGATTGTTGAAAATAAGTTTCTCCATAAAATTTAGGCATCATTTGACTTGTCCTTCAGATATAAAATAATTCTAAGCAGAAATGAATCTCCAAAAATCTGTAAAACATATAGGAATAAAAACAAATCCCTGTTCAAAATAAGAATAAGTCATAAGACTTAATCTAATGAACCTATATCAAATATTAATTGTTCTCTTTCCTTTTCTGTACCTGCAAAGGACAAAAGAAATAATTGCATGGAAATTGCATAAAGCAATATATTCTATTTATAAAACTGACTAGACATTGTCAGCACTCACTACCAATGTTTTTAACATCGTGACAATATTATAGTTGATATTTACCTTTTGATAAAAATATAAATCACTGCTTATTCCCTGAAGCTAACTTCACTGATGCTAAATTATTTATGTTTCCATTTTAATATGCATTTTGCATCTGAGAGGACAACTCTACTTCAGACCCTTTTACTGACCCACCTGTCATTATGATGGGGTAAACAATGTCACCTTTCTAGTGCACAATGAATTACAAAGAAGTTGCAAAATACACCGATCCATCATACTGGCACTAAGTAGGTTTTCGAAGTAGATCTCAGATATCACAAATGCTGTTTAGACTGTTACCAGAGAGCAAAAATTGGAAGCTTATACAAAACGGTCATATGATGAATGGACATGACAGCTCTTCAAAGAGAAGGGGAGTCCTCTTCTACAAATAACCTTGTCAAAAGCAAAAGTAGTAGGGAGCTTTGCTGGCAGTCAGAGTGGAATAATTTAAGAACTTGTTAATGCTTCTGCCTGATAGAAATTCATGCAAACACTGTGTATTCAAAATCCAGAAGTAAGTATAGCCTGAATCATCAGCAAACTCATAAGCCTGATATACATTAAGGAATGGGCTGAAGAGCTACAGAAAATAACCAGTGTCTTTTAATTAGAATATGTGAATTTCAATAATCTCTCTCTAAGACACACATATATAATATATATGCATGTACTCTGTATGTTTATGTAATACCTAGAAATTGCCTTGGTTTTTGAGAATTGTAATAATATAGTTTAAGTTCAAAAAATAATATCAGTGACATTATATACTTTATTGACATAGGTGTCTATATTCTTATGTGCTTAGTGCAATATATTTGAATTATTAATACAATTCTTAAAAGAATGATTGTCAGTGTCATCATCTAATTTGTACAGTTAATTTCTCAATTACATTAATCAAATACAAAGTGTTCTCTATATTGCATTTTAGTTCCTCTAATACTACTCACTTTTATTTACACATAGTATTTCAAAGATGGAATATATTTCTACAGGTACTACATCAAGGAACGTAGTGTATACTGCAACTATCTTTACTTCTCTCTCTTAATAGCTACTTTCCTTTGCCTATTTCAATACTTCTTATTAAAAATGGTAATTTAATAAAATTTATTAAAGGAGGAAAGTCCCCATATGAATGATGACTTCACGGACATTGAGGTAATAACTTGATTCTGTAGTAGACGTCAGTTTCCTTTTATTGAAACAAGGAGGAAATTTAAACATTCATAACTGATAAATGCATAGAAAACACTAAGCAGTACAGTTACAAGGGAACATTCAACAACCAACCAACCACAAAAGTCCAATGGATTATTTAAAATGACCATACTGAGAAAACATGGACCTCAGTTGCATTTCATAGCTTTTCCATGTCACCTCAGTCAAGGAAAATTGAAAGTTCACCACTTCCTGGTGTTTCTGCTGTGCTATTTTGTACATGCTTTGGTGTGGTCGAAGATGACTGTGCTGGACTTGAATTTGGTATAAAGAGAAAGCTGGAAATATTTGGGGTATTAGCATGGCTGCAGGTCAGATAGAAAATATATGGGTTAACTCAAGAATTTTGGCCTGAGACTAAAGCTTCTGAACCAAAGAGCCCTGGCTGACTTCTGAACCAATTCACTAATTCACTTAGTGAGGCTTTTTGTGACACTAGTCTCTGTGACAATCACCTGCAGCCTTGATCATGTAGATGCAAAAAGTCCTTGGGGGCATGGGTGCGGGGCACACATGCCTGATTGCGGGCACCTGGAGTATGGGGTGTGTGTATCATAGGTGTGCATGCCTGAGCCTAGAGTTGGGGATAAAAGCTGTGAGGCAGAGGCTGTGAGAAAACTAGCAATGTGACTACAGAAGAGTCAAGAATATGAGACTACACGAGAGAGAATGCCAGAGAGAGCCCAGGGAATGAGCTTAAAGTTTTATGGGGGGATGGGAGACTCTGTTGCCTGCCAGCCTCCCAGCCTGGTGTGTCAGTGTACCTGGTTCCCTCAGAGAGCATCAACGCCTGAAAAATCCACCAAGAGCCTGGGGCTCTCTCTCTTTTATCCCTCTGCCCAAATCAAGAGTGAACCAGCCCTGTGCAGGTGACTTTCTCCATTTTCATTAATATACAATATGTTTCCATAATTACCTACAAGAAATAGTGTAAATTTATCAATCAAATCATATATGTCTTACACTTGAAATAACTCAGACACTTAATATTGTATTAACTCTTAAACAATAATAATAATAAGGCTTTTCAAGGTGATACTGATTATATGTACCCTGCCACTGGACGTCAAAGAATACGACCTCCCTGGCGGTGCAAGCAGTTAAGCATAGCACTGTGAAGCTATCTGCAGCCTCTGCAGCATCAGTCCAATCCCCAGCCAGGGAGCTACCCACATGGCACAGCAGACTACTGTCTTGCCCGCTGCTCCCCTCAGCAGTGTATTTCAGTCCATCAGCCTGCCTGTTCTTCTCCCCACCCTGTCTCTGGTGAATCCTCTCACCCCTTACACCTCTCACCCCAAATATTAGGCATAAGCATGCAAGTTAAAACATTTTGAGTTATTTGAAAGTATCTTTAAATGGTTTAAATATTTCAAATACTAATCATTTGTTAAGTTATAGTCTTAAAAATCTGTATCCCATTATTAACAGCAATCATAACTATGACATTTCACTTGTATTAAATAGGGTAATGTACACTTTCATAAAAGACTGAATATATATGTTATATATTAAACATATGTTATATATATGTTAAAATTATACTTTTATATAGAAAGAGAAAACTTGCCTACATAAAAGAAACTAGTGACCAATTATGCATATTACCTAACTGGTTCTTGCTCTTGGTTAGGCTCTGTTGCCAAGATTTACTTAGATTAACTAATTTAGTGCTCACAAAACCCTAATGAAGTTGGAGCTATTACCATCCCCATTACAAAGATGATGAAACTCAGTCCTAGATGGTTAAGTAACAGCAGGTAATTGTGGAGCTGAGATTTGAAACTAATCCATATGAATCCAGAAACCATGCACTTAACCACTGTGCCAATGAAACACTGCACCAAAACACTAGCTAAGCCAGAGAAAGTCAAGAAATAAGCTACACCTGGCCCCCTAGCTCATGTGTTTTCCAGCATGAAAGCAGAAGCATTGCATTTCAAATCTTTAATGTGTGAATAATCACATTGATTTCCTCTTCATGCTTTGTGTCTGTACATAGTTTGAAAACATAACAGTTTCCATTTCTGTTCTTTCTGTTCATATCTATCTATTAACATTTGTTCCTTCAAAACCAAAGAATGAAATGAATTTGTACTGTGTAGACTAAGCAAAATTTGAATGACTCAGTCACACCTTCAACACTTTTGAATTAAATTCTTCTAACATGTTTTCACTTTCAAAATATGACAAGAAAAGGGTCAGGGAATCCAAATCTTCCTTCCCCTTTCCTGGCACTTGCACACTGAGAACATTTAATGGTTACTTTTGTATGTTGCATCTTGCCAGTTAGTTCAATTTAGATGAAAGCTGTTGTTTTCTAATTCCATTTCACAGTAAATGACAGAGACAAATGGTCATATTACCTCGAGAGTTCCTTTGGCAGAATAGGCTGCATATGAGTAGAGCAGATCTTGGCTGCTGTGTTTTCTGGCTTCTTCACTGCAAGCCTGGCCATTAGGATGAAAGCATTGGCCGCTGCTGCTCAGCATCACAGAGCCAGGAGAGGCGCCTGGCAGATTAAGCAGCACAGAGTAATTTACAAACTGTACATCTTCAAGGCCCAAAGACGTCCACTGAGTCTTAATCGTCTTCAAAATGTCTGTGTCATCATCACTTTTATACAGTTGTACCAAATATCTGGAAGAAATTTAGAAGGCATACTCTGAATAAAAGAAACTCTTTATTCTTTTGAGATAAAACAGTTTGACATATGAACTATTTATTAATAAATGCGAGATCCGGAAAGATGGATGAGACAGGATGCTAGAGAAACTTACAGTTTGGTAGATGTGATGGGCTTCTACTGAAATTGCACTAAATCAAAGCAGAATGATTAAGTTCTTAAATTAAGAACTTGCAAAGCAGCATGGAACTACAGAGAAGAACATGATTAATGCCAACCTGATGAAACTGTCCTGGTCCTTTTGTCAACACCAACACAATCCACTAAAAATTCAGTTCCAAAACTAGTCGTCATGCTGGTTGAGATAGTTTTGTATTGTAGTTAATATGGCCCAATATAAAACTATGTAATTAATTTAGAGGGATTTCTATACTGCATATAAAATAATACATTAAAATATTCTTACATACAAATTACTTGCCAAATTGCATGATGTTATTAACACAGTCGTATGGAATAAGATCTATATGTCTTAGAAAAACTAAAAACAGGTTATCAACCAATTAATGATTTTGTGCATGTTTTTTCTATAGTCTATTTATTCCTATACCTATCCATAATCCACAGCAACACAACCTATTTTTTGTATATCACATCCTGAGTCAGAAAACTTAAAAAATGTATGAACAGTAGGACAAAATAAGACAAAATCTTAATAACCTAGATAAAGTTGATATTGTTGTTTTAGCCAGAGGGAAAAGGAGCTGAGCAAAATATATATTCTTACAAAATATTTTGATAATATTGTTAAATTTCCCCATCACATTATTTTCTCAAGAATCTTTCTCTTTAAAATTTTAGTTTTGCATAGAAGAACTGGGGTGTAGGCCAGAGGTGCAAGGGTAGGGAGGTAAGAGGATTTACCAGAGACAGAGAGGGGAGCAGAGCAGGTGGATTGACTGAAATACACTGCTGAGGGGAATAGCGGGCAAGACAGGAGAGGTCTGCTGTACCATGCAAGGAAGCTCTCTTGCCAGGGATCAAACTCAAGCAGTCCTGGTGATAGCACTGAGACTTAACTCATAGGAGTTAATAGACTTAACTCCTATTTCCAAGAATATTTCTTTCAGGACCCTGTTTATTCAACAACCCCAAAGTGGGACACATCTGAAAAAAGTAATAAATATACACAATGGAGAAAAAAGAAATGCATGTAATATTGGAGGAAGGTATTACTAGAGATAAAAGATAAGTCAATGGACATAGTTGAAAAGTTGGTCTAGGGCCTCCCCGGTGGCTCAGGGATTGAGCACTGGGTTGCGAAGCTGCCCGCAGCCTCTGCAGCGCTGGTTAGATCCCCGGCTGCTCCCCGACCACCAGAGGAAGGTCCCACATGGCGCACAGACCTCTCCTGCCGCCCGCTGCTCCCCTCAGCAGTGTACTACGGTCCTTCTGCCTGCTCTGCTCCCCACTCTGGCTATGGTGAATTCTCTCACCCTCCCGCGCTTCTGACTGTACCCAGTGCTTGTATAAATAAAATAAATAAATAAATAAAATAAAAATAAATAAATTTTAAAAGTTGGTCTAAACAGGAATATGCAATAGTAACTTCCCTGTTTTCCCTCTTTTTAAGTCTTTTCTTTTTTTAATGCCTTATTTCACCAAATTATCAGTACCACATGAATTTTAGAACAGTTGATGGGAAGAATTTTGTTTTACTTAAAATGGACTAGACTTCCTTGCATCCTGTTCTTTTAGGGGCAAAAGATTTTAAGGTGTAATTGCCAAACAAAATTGTAGATAAAGTGTACAACATGATTCTATATACATACACATTGTGAAATGATTGCTACAATCTACCTCCACTGGATTTCAGGACATGCTACTTTTCCAAAGCATATTTTACTAAGAGCATTTAAGAGATCCTAACTTCAGTATCTGAATTTTGCTAGAAGATAAAATTATATTCTATTGTGGATTTAACCAACATTACCATAATTATGAATGAGGATATTCTCATATATTATTTAGCAATCCATGTTCCCTTTTCTATGCAATTACTGACTATATCTTTTTGTTATATTTGTGAAAGTTTTTATAAGTTCTGTATAATCATTTTTAGGTCATAAATATGACTCTTATCCTCTACCAGTTTTTAATATCTCATATTTTAAGTTCTTTCTTATAATGAACCAAACTTTATAATTCTAATGTATCTAATTTCAATGTAATATAGTTGTTTGCACATTTTTCTGATGTCCTTAAGAAATCCTTCTCAAACCTGAAATAAGACAGTTATTCTCATATTTTTTTCTAAATTTTTTAAGGATTTTATTTCTCACATACCTGGAATGCGTGTATGGTGTGAGATTGCAATCAATATCCCTTTTACCACATGAATAACCAACTTTTGTCATATACTCAATGTGTAATAACAACTGTGTCATGGATGGAGTTTCACATGTGTGTATGTTTCTCCAGTTTCTCTAATCAATTCCATTAAAATTTTTGCTCCAACTCCATAATAATATCTACATATATTGTTATTTCTTTATATCTTAATATTCAGCATGGCAATTTCACTTATGTACTGTTTTTGAAGAACATCTTCATTGTTACTTTTTTTCTCTTCCATAATAATATTGGCTTGAGTTTATCAATTTCCTTGTCAAGATTAGAAATGTTTTTAAAATTTAAATTTTTCTCATTATTGCTGCTGTAGAAGATACAAATTCACTTGTCATTCAAGTAATACTGCTAAAATCTTATTAATTATAATTGTTTTATTTTCTACATAAAAATATGATACGCAAATAATGAAGGGCTTATTACTTGCTTTTCTGTCATTTATATATTTTATTACTAAGTAGGTTAAAATCTCCAGGAGATATTTAATAAAATACTTAACTAAGTCGTGATAGTTTACGTTCTATCAAGTTATAAATGCTCCTTACATTCTTTTTTTTTTAAATATAGAATGCTTCAATAATATGTGTGTCATCCTCGTACAGGGGCCATGCTAATTTTCTCTGTATCATTGCATGTTTGGTATATGCTGCTGAAGCAAGCATTCCATTCTGATTTTGACAAGAGATGTTTGGTGAATTGTTATTTATTTAATTTAATTCTGATGGATTTAAAATGATCACATCCTTTTCTTTAATGTGGTGGATTACATTTATATTTTTAGCAGTAAATCAAACTTGCATTCTTAAGATTAACTCTGCTTAGAAGAATGCATTATACTTTTAAAGTACTATATGATTTGTTTTGATATTTGTTTTCAATTTTCATATTTATCTGTAGGTTTCAATTTTTTAAATTGTACTACATTTTATTGAGATAACAATGGTTTCCAATGTAGTAGTGTACAATTTATGAATATGCATCACATCTTTCACACACACTTTACCACACCACACCCACCACCAAGTCAGCCACAGTTCTCCACCGTAGTCCACTGTGCTCCTGCCACTTTACATAGTCCACTGTACTCCTGTCCCCTCTGTGTCTGGTAGACTCAATTCTACCATCAGATTTCTATGGTTTGTTTTAATTTAGTTTTCTCTGTTCCTTTGTTTTGTTTCTTTATACTCCACATATGAGTGAAATGACCCAGCATTTATTTTTATAAGTAAGTATGCTTTTTTCCTTTCAGGCAGCACTTTTGTTTGAGTTTGGTTTGAAGTTATACATACCTCATGTAATGAAATAGTGGTCCCTCTTGATTTTTTCTCTGGGAGGACTTGAATATAATTATAATTTTTGAAGATGGAAATTATTCTTAAACTAAAAATTGTCTATACTTATATTTTTATTATGGAAGATCTATGAACTGCTGATTCAATGTCTTTAATGTTATAAAAATTTTATTATTTCTTCTTTGTACTCAAATGCTCTTTCATTGCCCCTGGTAACATCTGCTATTAATCCTCAAAGCTCTAGGTTTCTGATTTTATTACTTGCCACATAAGTACTCTTAGTCAAGTTTTTGTTCCCTTGGGAATTTCTCTTACTATTTTGTCAGCTCTTGATTGCAGAGTTTTACAAAAGGTTTATTGTAATGTATACAGCATCTACGTGTTTTTGAAAATGCTTTTAAATTCTAGTCAAATTAGAAATGCACCAACTTGAGAATATAGCCACTGAAAAGGAAAAAAAAAATGTAAGTATTGATTGTTATTCACATAACATCAACAGAAAAATCTGGAAAAACAGCTAAGGACAAAAAAACAGCAAGATCCCACTTTTCCCACAAATTTACCATGTAGGTATTTGTTCAAAATGATAGATCTAATATCATTCCACACATTACTTCTATCTAAGAGATTAGATTTTTCAAACCTTGAATACTGTAGTAGTTGACTGGATTGAAGGAGATATAAGAACCTTTTTATATTAAGCTGAATGAGCACCTATATATATAAATACATTCTAAAAGTTATAATTTTTAATAAACACATGATTGATTATAAAAACACTGGTCTTTAAAAATAATAGAGAAAACACATTTTCTTAATAAATATTCCCTAATATTGTAATTAACCAATAAATTAAATAAATACTTGTTTATTTTTTTATTTTTAAAGATTTACAGGCAAGATGCATGGGAAGGTGAGAGGATTCAGCAGAGACAGGCAGACTGACGAAATACACTGCTGAGGGAAGCAGCGGGCGAGTCAGGAGAGGTCTGTTCGCCATGTGGGACCCTCGCCGGCCGGCAGGGATGGAATCCACGCTGCAGAGGCAGTGGACAGCTTCACAATTCACAATGCAGCACTCAACTGCCTGCACCACCAGGGAGGCCCCTAAATACTTGTTTAAATGCAGTATACCACAGATGACTTTTTAACTCTGCTTCCTTTGAAACAGTATTTTTAAATTATCAAATTGTTTAAATTTCTTTTGTGCCTCCCAAAGAGACTTTCAAAGACCATATGAATCCTATGTTCTGAATTTATGTAACCTTGAAATGTAAGTTATTTTAAATATATCAGTGATCATCAAGACAGTCTTAATGATACACACAGTTTAGCCAAATGTTGTTAGTCATTAATCATTTAAAATCACTTAGGATGTTAAAATGCCTAATTTTTTTTCAAGATTTATTTATTTATGCATACAAGAACTGGGGTACAGGCCAGAGATGTGGGGGGGTGAAAGGATTCACCAGAGACAGAGTGGGGAACAAAACAGGTGAACTGACTGAAACACACTGCTGAGGGGAGCAGCAGGCGAGTCAGGAGAGGTCTGCTGTGCCATGTGGGTCACCTCCCTGGCAGGCCGGGGATTGAACTCCTGCTACAGTGGCTTCATAGGTTGCATCTTAACCCATTACGCCACCAGGGAGGCCCAAAAAACCTAAGTTTTATTGAGAAGTTTCAGGGTTTTTTTTAACTTTTTTTCATTCACAATAATTTTTTTGCATTTAGTGAGAACAGTTCTGTTGTATTTAGATGTTTTGTTGTTTTTAAAGAGAAAAAATATTAAGTAATTAACTGCAATGTAATCTTAGTTTACTAATTTCAGAGAAAGCTTAAAAATTAAAAGAATGTGTCACCTTTAGTTGCATGGTGTTTATTTGACACAGGTTTTGTTCTGCTTTAAATTTTGAAGTAAGAATTTCCATGGACTAATAGTTGGAGCAGACTGCATGATGAAATGGCATGTTTGAGATTTGAATTTGGAATCTGGCATTTGTGTTACATTGGCAAGTGGAGACTGGAGATGGGAGGAATTTGGCTTTGGTGGACAAATTTCTGTCTATATCGTGGTCAACACCTGCTACTGGATGAGCTTCAAGGCAAAACCAATGTTAGAACTGGAGGAAGCGATGTGTGTAGTATTCCTTGTACCACGGTGAGTGCCAAGTGTGTACTGTAAGTGAATGGGAAAAGAAAACATCTAAAGAATCATACTAACATTACACAGAAAAAAAGTCAGCATGTTTACTGATGTCCACTGAGGTTTTCCTACGTGTGTACACAATACCATACACACAACTGCATACTATACCAACTGATAGTCCTTATAGTTAAAACGTAAAAATTCACTTTGAGGTTGCTTTTGACTTGTCATACGTTGTAGTGCAATCCTATGAACCATGCACTATTTTTATGTAGGGAATTTTGAAGACTATCTAGTATGAGTTGACTTTTTTAATCTTCTAATTTTATTTTGGTAATATAATGACTAAAATGCATGGTTAAATCATATCACAAAAAGAGCAAGACATCAAAATGTGTAGGGTGGAAAGGCAGAATCCCTTCAAACTCCCTTGCCAGTTAGTTACTAATCCCAAGCCAAATAAAAGAATGATTAATTGTTCAACTGCTTATCTTTTGAAATAACACACTAATAGTAAACCATGTCTTGAAAATCTACTCTAGACACTGGTACATAATAATCGCACCAAAAGTATATTATTATTGTTACCACATTACAGAGAAAGACATTAAGAATGAACTAATATATTTGAGATGTAAAATATCAGATTTCTACTATGCTGCACTGCTGTTTAAAAGGAACAGATAGTCTTCCAATTTTAGATGCTTTCTGAAAGCAATAAAAATATTGAATGTTAGAAACTACGGTATCAGGATATAATAATAAAAAATTAGGTGGTGTACGACTGGAGGAAAGAGATCTTTCTGCTCAGGAAGAAATAAAATTTCAGGAAATCAAAGTTACTTTTCAAGAATACAATAGACTAATTCTCTGAGTTTGGGAATCATCTGAATAAGAAAGAAGAAAATTGCTTCTTACATTTTATCTAAAAAATTAGCATAGAAGTAAATTTTTTGAAAAGATCTTAACATTTCCTAGCCTTGTGATGATGGAGAGCATAGTACATAGTTGTCTTTGTAAGTTAGGGAAGGCATGCAAATGGTCACAGTGACCTCAGGCTAATCCTGACAATAAAGGTTTTTAGAAAATACTTGGGTAATTAATTTGATATGCTTTCAACTATATATTCTACAAAGCAGTAAATAAATTGTTTCATAACCAGGAAACACAGAAATAAACTACCAACACTTCTATCTGAATCAGAAAGAAAAGTTTAACATTATAAATCTGTATCTTGATCCTACACATGTATTTGTTCAGTAGATAATTTCATCTTCAGTTAATGAATATTTTATGCATGTTTCAATTCTAAGAAAATACTTTTGTACCTTGTAATGAAGCATTTAAAAATACATTTCAGAAAGAAGAGATGTGACTTACCAAAATAAAGTCTACCCAATACATGGAGGTTATTAAGATTTTACAGAATGTAACAATCCTTCACAAGAATACTACATTTACTATTAATAGTGTGAGGTTTTCTGTTTTTCAGGGAGAATAGTTGTCAAAGGTTAATTTTCATATTAAGTTACCTTAATTTATCTAAACTAAATCTAAATGCAAACTTAGCAAAATAGACAAATTAATCTAATCAGTAAGACATCACATTTTCGATTTCATCTGCTTGGTTATCTAACACACTGACATAAATTTGAATGGTACCAAAATTTAAAGACTCTTGATTTAATGAGTCACTACTTTATGATCCAATGTATTTCAGGAAACTGAATATATTACTGGATAAATAATTGGAAAAAACATATACCATTTCAATAAGATTGTAACCAAAATGACTGATCTCTATCATACTTCAGAGTAAGCCTATTCAATGAGATTTTTAAAAAGACCTCAAATTCTAACATGATTCCCTTTAATGGGCATTAACCAAAAAAAAGAATGTATTTCATCAATCTTAAAAATAAGTTTATTTTCTAGGGCAAGTTTTGAGTCTTACCCCTTTATGTATCCTAAAACTTCAACTACAGTGACTTGCACATAATAATTGATGATCTTAATAAGTATTCTTTAAATGTTTTTTGCTACATATACTTTCAAGATTATATTGCAAAAGTAATTCTAAGAGGCGATATACTTATCTTAGCTTATTTTCCAAAATAGCAAATTAAATCTTAAGTAATATTAAAGGTTTACTAAACCAATACAGGTAGTTTTATATATTAAAGGACATCAATACATTTAAAAATAATTTTTGATGTTTTTCC